GCCAGAGTGGCCACCAGGGAAAGCTGGGGAGGGCTAGCCTCCCACTATTCGAATTAAGGGGCTACACACCCCTTAATTCGAACTAGTAAGTTCGAACTAGGCTTAGTCCTCGTAGAATGAGGTTTACCTAGTTAGAACTAAGCGCTCCGCTAGTTCGAATTAAGTTCGAACTAGCGGAGCGCTAGTGTAGCACCTATGAAAGTTAATTCGAACTAACATCCGTTAGTTCGAATTAACTTTGTAGTGTAGACATACCCTTACTTAGGTCTCAGATGATGCACGGTGATGCAATGCAACTACTTGTTCCTCCCCAAATGTTTTGCATAGTTCTAACACAATACCTAAGTAGCATGTGGGACCTTCTATGTGTGCTCTCATTGCAAGAGTGAATATTAACCTAGGAGAATAATACTTTAACTAGCACTCATTTTACAAGTGCCATATTGCAGACTTCCATTCAGGAGGCTGCCTTCAGTAATCACCATTGTTTAGAAGATACTTTAAGATACACTTTAAAGGGGAAAGAAATTAAAGGGTTTAGAAGCTTTCCTTGTTTTATTAATGATTATTACCCATATGAATTGTAATATCCAGTCCCAGGGACCTACTGTTCCAGACACTGCATGAACTTAACAAAGAGATGGTCCCTTGCAGATAGATATTACAGTCTATGAAAAGAAAAAGGACAGAGAGATGGGGCACCACAAAATAGCAACTGTGTAAGTGAAGAGAGTCCCAGCACACTAATTCCCTATTCGCTTTCCAGTACTTCATAGGAATTATACCAGAGGTGGGTTTAAGGAGATGTTTAAATGATGACAAAGGGGTGTCTGAATTTTTTCAGAGGAATGTATATATAAGGAGAGTGGGGATGCCATGGGGTCAACAAAATTTGACAAATGGTCAATCAAGGGCAGCAACACTGACAGAGGAGAGGTGGGGTTCCACATTTTTATGTCATGGCAGTGACCGGGTAGAAGAAGGTCAGGAAGAGTATTTAAAATGAAAATAGGTAGTTTGTGCTTGATGTGGTGGAGAAAAAGGGAGTCAATCCCAGAGGGATACAAAGAGAATAGGGAGACATGGAAAATGTGATGAGGCAAGAAAATGATTTTGCAGCAGTGTTTGAATGAGGGCAATTAAGGGATTTGTCAGGGCTGGAAGGGAGCAGAATGAGATGGCTGTTTTAGATGTGCTGATGAAGAGGAAATGCCAGATCTTGGAGATTCTGTCAAGATATAGACACTGCCTGAATGTGTGAGTCCAGGGGAAGAAGTCAAACGTGATGGCCTGAATGATACAGAGTTATTGTAATGTTGTCCTCAGTGACAGAAAAAGGGGAGAAGGGAGGTCTTATGTAGAAGCTCAAGATCTCAGCTATAGACATGTTGAGCTTGAGCTGACAGCTGGACATCCATGAGGAGATTCTGGCCAAGATACTAGTTAGCATAGAAGAAGAGAGGTCCGGAGTTAGCATAGATATGCTAATTAAAAGCCAATTTTATGAATTAGGTCACCAAGAGAGACGGCATGAGAGGGCCAAGAATGAACCCTTGTGATTTGTAGCTCACCCTTGATTTAAAGTGGGTATGCATATTATTTTATACTTCAGTTGGTCCTTATTTTGGATGTGTTAAATACTGAAAACAAATAAGCAAACAATGTTTTACAAGGTGCTGAAAATTGCAGGACCCAAACCTATGGCAAAAGGAAAACGTAGGGTATGTCTACACAGCAAAACTTTACTAGCGTCTACACAGCCAAACCGCTTTTTCAAAATTAATTCAAAATAGTGGAGTCCTTATTTCGAATTTGGTAAACCTCATTCCATGAGGAATAACGCCAAATTTGAAAGAGCTATTTTGAAATAAGTGCTGTGTAGACACTTATATCGAAATAGGGGGCCTCCAGCCTTCCCAGGGACCCCTGGTGGCCACTCTAGCATCAACAAAGAACACTCCTCTCCTTCCCCCTCCCTGGGGCTCTTAAAGGGGTTGACTCTGGACACAGTGCCTGTGCCACCTCCAAGCCTGCCAGCCCAGAGCCAGCAGTCACTGTCCCTGACCCAGTGACCTCAAAACATGAGCTGGCAAGCCACTGGCAGCCAGACCTCCATTGCTCCTCAGGAGAAGTCTGCTAGCTCCCAGGAGCCTGCCGGGGCCTGGAGAGGGCGAGCGCCTTCCTGGTCCAGGGTGGAGATCATGGATCTTATTCAGGTTTGGGGGAGATGCCCCCAGCGTCCATGATCTCCAAACTAGATGGATGAATGCGGACATCTATGGCATGATAGCTACCAGCCTGGCCACCAAAGGCCACATGCGAACCCAGGAGCAGGTATGCATGAAAATCAAGTTGGTCCGGTGAGATCCCCAACCCTGAGCCCTGAGCTTCCCCTCC